TTTCAAAGATTGCACTCCCTTTGACAAATTTAACGAGAAAATCTGTGAAGTTTGAATGGACAAATCGGTGTGAAGAGAGTTTTTAAAAGCTTAAGAAGAAGCTTACCACGACGCCAGTACTAATTATTCCAGATCCCACTAGAAGTTTCACTATCTATAGTGATGCTTCAAAGCAGGGGTTGGGATGTGTACTTATGCAAGATGGTCAAGTTGTTGCATATGCTTCGAGACAATTGAAACCTCATGAACAGAATTATCCAACTCATGATCTAGAATTGGCAGCAGTAGTTCATGCACTCAAGATTTGGAGGCATTATCTCTATGGAGGTCGGTGTGAAATATTCACTGATCACAAGAGTTTGCAATATATTTTCACACAAAAAGAGCTCAACATGCGCCAAAGAAGATGGTTAGAACTGGTGAAAGATTATGATTGCACTATTCAATATCACCCGGGAAAAGCAAACGTTGTAGCTGATGCACTAAGCCGTAAGGTCAAGGGTGAGTTGGCTTATTGTATATCTCAACAGAAGCAACTCATTAAAGAGTTTGCCCAGATGCAAATTGAAGTGGTTGAATCACTTCCTAAAGAGATTACAGGAAGTGTTAACTCCATGAGAATTCAACCTATGTTGAGAGATAGAATTCGGAAGGAGCAATCTTTTGATCAATTTATACGGAAGATAGAAGAGAAGGTTCATACCGGAGGAATAGAAGAAGGCTTTTACAGAGGCAGAGATGGAGCCTTAGAGTTCAGAGGCAGGATTATTGTGCCGAAAGTCGAGTCCTTGCGAAAGGAAATCTTGACAGAAGCACATAGTGCCCCTTATTTAGCTCACCCTGGAAGCACTAAAATGTATCACGATTTGAAAAAGTCATTTTGGTGGAAAAGGATGAAGAGAGATGTAGCAGACTTTGTAAAGAAGTGTTTGGTCTGTCGGCAAGTTAAGGCTGAGCACAAGAGTCCATTAGGTCTGTTACAACCACTTGAAATTCCAAAGTGGAAATGGGAAGAAGTTACCATGGATTTTGTTACAGGGCTACCTAAGTCATCTAAGCAGCACGATGCAATTTGGGTAGTAGTGGACAGATTGACGAAAGTCGCACGCTTTATGCCTGTAACAATGACCATGTCAATGGACCAGTTAGCCGAAATTTATACTAGAGGAATCATTCGACTCCATGGAGTGCCTGTTACTATCATATCAGATCGAGATCCCAGATTCACAAGCAGATTCTGGGAGAGTTTGCATGAGGCAATAGGCACACAATTGAAGTTTAGTTCGGCTTATCATCCAGAGACAGATGGCCAGTCAGAAAAGACTATTCAGACGCTCGAGGATATGCTCAGAGCTTGCATTTTGGATAGAGGTGCCAAGTGGGAGAAGTGGTTATCATTAGTAGAGTTTGCCTACAATAATAGTTACCACGCATCGATTCGGATGGCTCCTTATGAAGCACTTTATGGCCGTAAGTGTCGTTCGCCTCTTTATTGGGATGATGTTGGAGAGAGACGAGTCCTTGGTCCAAAGTTGATAGAGGAGACAGTGGAGCAAGTAGCCTGGATTCGAGAAAGGCTAAAGACTGCTCAGAGTCATCAAAAGTCGTCAGCCGATAAGCACAGAAGGGAGATGCAGTTTGAAGTTGGAGATAAAGTATTCTTGAAAGTTCGACCAATGCGAGGTGTCGTTCGTTTTGGGAAGAGAGGCAAGTTGCATCCTCGTTATATAGGTCCATTTGAAGTTCTGGAGCGAGTTGGAGAAGTATCCTATCGTTTAGCTTTACCTCCTGAGTTGTTAAGTGTGCATAATGTTTTTCATGTATCGATGTTACGTGCATACGTGAGCGATCCAGAGCATGTGCTTCAGCATAATGAGATTCAGATTCAGCCTGATTTAACTTATGAGGAGCAGCCAGTAGCAGTTTTGGACCGAAAGGTTCATCGGCTCAGGAATCGAGATATTCCCCTCGTTCGTATTAGATGGAATCGCCACGGAGAGTCAAATGCCACTTGGGAACGGGAGGCTGATATTAGAGCTCGATTTCCAGATTTTGAGTTCTGATATGTACTCAGAAGGTACGTATCTCAGTTTTAATATTTCCGAGGGCGGAAATAGTTTTAAGAGGGGTAGATTGTAATATCCCATTCAGTAATTCATAAAAGTAATTATTTCAGTTCTAAGTTAGAACTATTTTACTTTTATTAATAATGATCTTTTATATTTCCAAGCCTTAATAAATCTCTTAGAATTTTATTTTTCAGTTGGCTCGACATTAAAGTTAAATCAGAATCGTTTTTCATTAAATTGAGTTAGTCGAGTAAATGTTATAAATTGCCTAAGTATTTTATGTGACTTATATGATTTGATAAGTTATAAGGATTAAGTAGAAGTTATTTAGACAAGAAGGTCTATTTATATTATTAAGAATATATTCGAAATTATATTCGCAAGTTTCGAGTTTTTCGATGTTCGGTTGTAGACGATAATTAAATCCGATTTCGTTTCCGAAAAATTTATTTTCTTGTATCTTTTTACAAGTTTCAAGATCATTAATAAGAGTTAAAAATTTTCAGCATAAAAAGGAAAAAGGCCAAAAGCAAAAGATGGAAATCTGAAATTTTCAGAATTTTCGATTTTTCGGTAACCGTTCGTTTTAAGTCAGAATTCGGTTCTGTAAATTGGAGATTTTTCATTAAGTCACGAATTTTATCATGGAAACTAGATTAGGATCACAATATGGCCCTTTCTAAGCATTGACTATAGATTTGAGAAGTTTACAAGTTATGATTTTTATTCTTTATCTTTATTTATTTTTATAACCATTTTTTTTAGTATTTTTAAGCAATAAATGAGCCATTTAAGACTAAATTCGAGCCATAATGGAGGATTGGTCAAATGGAGGAGTTTGTCTTGATATATACAAGATGAATCATGCATTACAAGTACTTTTCAAAGCTTACTCAACTTTGTGCATTATTTTAGAAAAACATTAATGGCAAGGGCCCTAATGAGTTTATTATGATGAAGTATTGATGTGAAGAAGGTGATATTGTCTCCTTTGCTACCCTATATAAAGGGGTATCACCATAGACTCGAAATTCACATCATAATAAGCAAAGTCTTAGCTAAAGAGGGTAAGAAAGAGAGATAAATTGAGAGAAATCTTGACGAAGATAAGTTGAGATCAACTTCCGAAGTTTCATTTTCAAATTTCTTGAAGAAGGTTAGATGCTACCTTTTTAACATATGTTATAGTTTATATTAAGTGAATATTGATGTATTCAATTTTTAAAGAAATTTTAAAAATGAAAAAAAAAATATGATAAGTTGTTTCCAGCACAAACACATGTTATATATGTATTGTTTTGATTTAAATTTGAGCATGATATGCATAACCTGGTATGTTAAGCTTATTATGGATATTTCTTGTGTAAGTGCTGAGTATATAGGTGAAAGAATTATGTCATTTGGCATAGTATAGCTTGAGTTATAAATTTTTGAAGTTAAGCATGCAAGTTGAATTTTATGTTCTTTATTTCAGTTGTGACTTTAAAATTTTAATAACTCGATATATACTCATGATAAAATTATGAAATTTTTACGACATGCTTATATATGGGTTAAGAACATGACTGCCAAATTTCATGATTTTATGTTGAGAAATGAGCGAGTTAAAATATTTATATGGCATACATGTCAAGATGATTTTATATGCAAGAGTATTTAGTACATGGTTAAGTTTTAAAATGGAATTTTTAGAAAAAAATTCTTATATGAGTAATGAGCAATTTGACCAAGTTTTAGTTTAATATGTTGAGTATACAATTTTATAAAGATTGTTGTAAATCTCACATATTAATATTATGATGAAAAGTTTAGTATGATTTGAGTTATTTTTCACTTTCGAGAAAATCAAGTGAAAAATGAGTATAAGCCATATGTATAAGATTTGGGAGAACTAATATGAGTAAGTATTTGATTGAGTAAAAGATCAAGAAAAACAAGAATATTGAGATTTTATAAGATTTGGATGATTTATCCGAAAAAGTTGAAAATCCGAGTATACGAGCATAGTACTTAGTATATTTGTTTACGTATTTTTATGTAGTTTGAAGAGTTAGCTACTCGAGACCAACACTTACGATTTCAAAGGAGAAAGGTGGGGACCCAGACTGGGTATTACATTGAGTATAATATTGTTATCATGTTCGAGGTATGTATACAGTTTAAGTTTATACGCTTGGGATGAGGAGGCATTAATTTGTCTTGAAGATTATATCCTAAGTTCTGATGGAGGCGATACGTGCCTTAGAAATATCCATAAGATTGTGCACAAGTATCCAATAATATATCGGCCAGATTAAGTTACAGTTAATATATATATACCAAAGATCATGATATTGTATTATTATTGATGTTTACTTTAGTATGGGTATTAACGGGGTACAAAAGGACCAGTACTCACCCCCATTATGTTTTTCAGGTAACAGGGTCGGGCCGGAGGTGTGAGCAAATAAAGTGGTGGTGATGGTCGAGTACTCATTTCAAAGGACATTTGTAATAAATGAAATAAGTCTGTATAATTATTCACGTTTTTAAGTAATTCCGCTACGCTTATTAATATGTGAACTTGCATTTTAAATAAATTCAGATTTCAAGTTTTTATCATTTCATAAATATGAACATGATATAGTTAAATGCAAGTATATATATAAATCTGTTTTGTTATGTCTAAAATAAATAATTAGACAAAGTTAAAGTTAAACAGATTTTTAGGAAGAAGGAGTTTAAGTAGCATTCCGAGTAATTCGCAAAAAGATTTTGAAAGAGTTATAAGTAATTTCGAAATA